CTCAAAGCCATCCTTTCTCCTTTCTACCTAATTCCCCCTGTACATCTAAAGAGCATCGCATCTTCTCTGGGTCAGAGACGTGGGGAGCAACACGTTGCCATCTACTCGTTTGCAATCCCTGCCAGACCTTTTCCACCTCTCCCGTAATAGCACGATAAAACAGGTGCCTGTTTCAGCCTCATTGAACCGGAGTGGTGCACGGTAATTTCACATCTTTGGTGGCAGGCAGCCTCATCTAGGATGTTTGCTGAGCTGCTGTATTAATCAATATGGTTAATTGAAACGGTGATTGCACCGACTTGTGCTAGGAACAGCTGTTTCCCATCATCAGCACCAATAAATGTGATGATCTGCCAGATCTTCTGCCCACAGTCATTTCCACCTCAGTGCAAGCAGCGTGACAGCCAGCTAGCATCACTGGCTCATGTCATCCTTTCCAGCCCCGTGAGCCCCAGCTGCCTCTGGATATGCTCTGGCCTGAAGGCTGGCTGTTGTGTTCACCTGTCTCTCCTCTAGGAATTCAGATTTGAACCCAAGGGATGAAGGCAGCTGATACGAACCTGAAGGAAACATCATTTTCTGCAAATTCATCCCAGGGAAACCAGGTGCAAGTCTGCTTGCGCTGGATAAAAGCAGAGGATAAGACTGTGAACCCCTTTGGCTCCCTGCTGTCTGCCTATCAGAGGGCTTAGGTGTCAAGAGATACAGGAGAAATGGCAGTTCCAGGCCTTTAGATGTGCTTGCAAGCAGGAGTGAGGAAGTAGCACAGAAATTCAGGAGAGATCAGGCCCATAAATCACACGGTAATGAGAGCAAGGCCTATCCAAGCACCTGCCCACTTAGCAGTGTCACAGCAGCTGTCAGGGACATGTGAGGATGATTTATGGCTGCATTCTCTTCCCAAAGCTAACGCTGGGTGCCAAAGCTATGCATCCCTGTGGCATCCCCCAGCTTCTCACCCTCCTGTTCCTACCTGCAGCCCTGGGCCCTCTCTACCAGGCAGCATCCTGATAGAGTTAAAACTTTGTCCTGGGCAGTTTTGTTCAAGCCAAAACCTTCACGATCACTTTACCACAGCTGTGTCACACTGTCCCTATCTTGTACATCTAGCATAGCAACACAATTTGCCATCTTGGCCATATTTCGGGGTACGTGGCTGCTTACCCAATAGGAGATGCTGGAGATCTGATTTTGCATTGTATAGCATCTCCTGGATGTCAGAGCTGCGCAGATACTCTGTGCTGTAATTAACAGTTAATTAGCAATTAATGCAAATCCATCAAGAGATGTTTTCTCCTACCATCTCCAAGGCAGGGATGCAGGGTCTGTCCACAGGGAGGTGCAAACACGTGCAAACCTCTCTTGCCTGTGCAAGACATCCTCTGTTCCCATACCCCAAGGACACTGCAGTGGTAGCCAGGTCAGATGGTGCATGGCACTGGTCACTGCCACCAGGCACGGCCACGTCCTTGGGGTTATCACACACTAACAAGGGCAAAGGGTAACATGATGAATTAGACCATTGCAAAACGATGCTAAATGTCAGATGCACGCCAAATGCCAGGTGCTCCTCAGCAAAGCCCTCCACACTTTGCCCAGCGTACAGCTCTCCTAACAAAGGTTGTCTTGTGCAAGCCCTGCCTGGATGAGATTTAAACCATCAGAGATGACTGCTCAGTTGTTTCTCACTTGGACCTCAGTACCTCCTCTAGCGTGGTAAAACACACTTCCTTTCTGTAGCACCGGATTTGCTTTTCAATGCTTCATTATGTTTCAAGGTCACGGCATATCAAGCAGTTTGGTTGACTGCTCTGGAAAGAAATGAAGTCACAAGAATTTTTTGTTTAATAAATGCAAGCGCCAAGCCTGAATTGCTTTCTTGTAAGCATGAAAAGGAGAACAGGAAGCACTCGGGTTTACATTTTTCTTTCTTCCCTGTCTTATGAGTCCACAGTTTGCACTTCTTTCCTAAGGTGGAGCAATGCCAGGGTCTCAGGCATCCCAGGTTGACCCTGGGGGTTACTAAAACAGACAGCTATGATGCAGATGGGGACGTGCTGGTTGCATCCCAAAGAGCATCCTGAAGACAGCGTGTGGTCCCCCTATGGCAGGACCCTTCCTGTGTTCCCTGTGTGCCCTCCTGGCATGGCACAGGAGCAGCAGGCTGGAGGAGGAGGCCTTTGGGTGCAGTGCTGCTCTGTTTGAAGTCAGCAGTGAATTTCCCACTGGCTTTAGCCCAGGGTTTTGCAAATGTGCTGGAGGCCAGGTTAAGGACTTATCTGGAGCCTGATGATGTCTTGTTCCCAGATTGCTTGCAGTATTAATTAGGGCTCCAAGCCCGCTGCATTTTCCAGCTCTTTGGCTCCAATTTGCCACACTGGAAGGAGCTGGGATGTGAAATGCCCAATGCCACACAAATGAAACAGATTCTGCATTATTTTTGCCCTGACAACATTCGTCCCTTACAACAGACCTGTTTCGGGGGATGCTGCAGCATACCATTGCTCAAAAAGCATCTGCCAAAGCAGCTTTTGATGGGAAGAAGCATTTCATGGGGAGCAGAACCCTTTCCCATAGCCATGCCATTTGTGTCAAGTCTCAGCTGCAAAGCAAGACAGCCAAGCAGCAAATTTGAGGCAGACTTGACAGCAAGCAAAGGCCAGCACTTCTTGGGTACTGGCATCTCCCAGGAGCTTGGTAGCCCAGGGACCACATTCCTCAAATACACCTGCCAACCTGTTTGCAGCCTTCCAGGTGGGATGTTTGTGCAAATGCATTCCCCTCCACAAATCTCACTGACTTGGCTTTCACAGCTTGCCCCCAAGCTTTCACTAAACCCACAGCCTGGTTCCTACAGAAGGTGAGGACCAAGCTGGCTGGCAGGCTGCTGTCCTCCCTGAGGAGCCTCCAGGCTAATGCCAATCAATCCTAACACAAGTCTGGCAACCCCAAGGATAAGTCTATCCTGGCAATAATTTATATCAAATGACATCTGCCTTGAGAAGACAGATCCCACAAACGCCTCAGCAAGGAAAAAAAAAATGCAAGAGAAGCTCATGCCTTATTAAACATCAGAAAGCCCACACAGAGAGAGACACAAAAGTCCCTAATGTGAGAAGAGCATCTGTCTGGCCTTGTAGTCAACCTCGGATGCTGCAGGACTGGAGGTACCTCTCCTGTGCTCATCCAGCCAGCAAGTGTGCAATGCTCACCTTTGCCACCGGTGGTGGAAATGCATCATCACTGGCATCTCCCTTCCTAATAACAAGTGGATCTCATTCTGTTGCCCAATCAGTACCTGTGGTGAGAAATTCCTGAGGCTGGCAGGTCGCTGATGGGGCCGCAGCATCTGAAATAAATTCTCTGCTGTGACACAGGTGAAATAGAGTGGGGATAAAAGCCCCAAATCCATCGCTGAATGAGTTTTCTGAGACTTTGAGAGATAGAATGAGCAAGTAAACAAGGCAGGATGTTCCCCTGTGCATGCCAGAGCGTCTCAAATGCAGTGGAAAACGCAATCAATAATTGAGTGAGAAGGCAAGGCGCGCTGAGCTTTCACAAAGCACAGCCTGAGCATCCAGTATTTATTTTCAGGCCTTAAATAATGCATCTGAAAATGCTTCTAACTGGATATATTAAGGCAAACAAATTTATGTCATGAAAAGTTAATGGACGAGAGCATCTCCGAAGGAAAACCCACAGTCACAAATACACCCCTCAGCTCATTGGTTGGTCCTGTTCCTCCTCTTAAGTTAGGGGACAGGTCTTAATTTCTAATTAAGGAATCATTCGCTATCAATTAGCCTGTATAAGTGGATTTCACTCTTGCTGCTGTGCTCTTGAAGTTAAATCACTTAAGCCTCCACATTTCTTCCTTGCTGTTGTACGTACAGCTGCCAGCAACGCGGTGCAGTGCCAGGGGACCTGGGGCCATCCTGCTTCTGCCACCAGTTTTCTTTTTATTCTTACCAAATTGGTTCATCTGCGTGGGTTAGCTTCCTCAGCAGACACATAGCAGAGCAGCAGTTACCATCAGCAGAAAGAAGAGGTAGAAAACAATCATAGAACTACCTATATCCTTCTTGTCTCGGGTCTCTTATGGTGTGGAGATGAGCTCCATAGCCCTGTGTGCTGGTCATGGGCACCTCAGAGGGGCCGTGGTGCTCTGACAAGTTAAGGAGAGTATGAGCAGAAGATTCTGGGTTGGCTATTAGGTACAATTTCTTCTCCAGAAGAGCAGTGCTGCAGTGGCACAGCTGCCCAGGAGTGCTGGGGTGACCATCCCTGGGGGTGTTCCATAACCACGGGGATGTGGCACTGAGGGATGCGGGCAGTGGGCATGGTGGGGTGGGTTGGGGTTGGACTTGGGGATCTGAGAGGTTTTTTCCAACCTTTTTGAGTCTATGACACTAAGATGAAGGGAACAAGGCTGAGGGCATGCACTGTGGTGCCAGCAGCCAGCTCTGGTGACACAGCTTTGATCCTGGAAGACACGAGTCCCATCATGCCGCACCAAGTGGCCTCACCTGCATGGGGCCAATGTCCCCATCCCTGCCCCCATTGGACACCCCCGTGCCTTGGGAACAGGCTGCTCAGCATGAGCTGCTGCTGCTGAGCCAGGTTTCTCATTACAAAAGTCAACAGATAAGATAAGAAAGGTTCATAACCTCTCATCACAGGACCAGATTTCTCATCTCCAGCAAGGCATTCCTGTCTCTGATGTTTATTTGCTGTAATATCGCACATCCAGCAGTAGATGAATTGCCTCTACTGGGATTTCAAGTCAGTCAGATCGGAGGAAATTGGTTTTGATGGCTTTGTGATAGAAACATCTCGGGACAAACTCACCCCCAGGGTCAGCAGAGATGCTGCGGGGCTGGATTTGGTGCTGGCTGGCCAAATACAAATCGGTAATGAAAAGTCTGGAAGCAGAATAACTTGGATCCAGAACTATTCTCAGCAGAAAGGGGTGTTTTTGTCCACAGCACCCTCAGGAGCTCAGAGGGTAATGCAGGGAACAGAAGGACAGACAGGCTGGCTGTAAGCACATGGAGCTGTGCGGGGCTGCTGTCCCTCCTCCAGGGCTTCAAATGGCACAGAAACACAGCCTGAAAAACCATAAGCATAAGGCAGCCATGCTCCGAATGCTTCTGTGCAACCAGCAGCAGTGCTTTTGTCAGAGTTATTTCTTCCTGGGTTTGGAGGAGGGAGGGCTGCAGAAACAACGATGCACTTTTTATGCCAGTTCAAAGGGCTCTCACCTCGCTGAGAGCACGTTCCCCATTCCTATCTGGTCAGAGCAGCTCTCTTGCTGGGACAAACAGGAAAGCACAGAGCACTGAACAGCTTTGATCGTAGCTTTTAACACACAGGGCTGTGCCTTACTCTTGGGCAGCGAAGGCAGCACTGTAGTGGTTGGGGCTGGGAGTTGGGGGAGGCACAGAGTGGCAGCAGTAAGGAAGAGCCTGACTGCCCTACAGTGCGGTACCCCATCGCTGTAATGGAGATGGAAGGTCTGGGCAGAAAACCATGCTGGCTGCAGTGGTTTCATACCCACGGGCATCTCGGCTCTGCCATGCTGCTCTCTCATCATCCCTCCTCTGAAGGACAAGAGTAGAAAACATGGTGAAAAAAAGAGTAAGAACAGTTGTCATCAGTAGCAAACCAGGCTTGGCACAGGTGGTAGCTCCTGCCTGGGACCTGCAGGGCTTCTCCATGGCTGCTGCCTCTTCCTGGCAACAGCCACTGCTGCTGCTGGGGTTCCTCCATGGCTGTGTGTGGAGATCTGCTCTTTTTAAACTGGAATTGGGTAGGACTGTTCTCTTTCTAGCACTTTTGCTGGAGCAGAACTCCTTTTTACCCAAGCCACAGGTCTGGGGAAGGATACATTTCGCTTGTGCTCCTCTATCTCCAAGCCTGGCTTAGTGCTGCAAGGGTTGAACTTAGGTGCTTGCAAATCTACAGCAGTCACTGATGCTGACACCTAGAAATGGCAGATGAAGGAATCTACCAAGAACCAAGGACCAGCCCAGCAGCAGGCAATGCTGATCAATGAAAGCCTCAACCTAGTTAACACAACTGAAGGAGGAAATTCTTCACTCAGAGGACAGTGAGGTGTTGGCACTGCTGCCCAGAACTGCGGAGCCCCATCCCTGCAGCTGCTCAGGGCAAGGCTGGATGGAGCCCCGTGCAGCCTGACCTGGGGGGGGCAGCCCTATACATGGCAGAGGTTGGGACTTGGATGGGCTTTAAGGTACTTTCCAACTCAAACCATTCTATAATTCTGTGATTCGACGTGCCCAAATGCTTGCTTCTGCTTGATGGTCCATCTTCGTGCCTCACAACAGCCACAGCTGAGCAGGAAAAGAGGTGCCGTGCCTGCAAGATGCATTCATTATTTAGCAGGAGGTACTTAAAAGAATTAAAAATGTGCACTGAAACATTTGGTTTCCTCTGCAGATGGCTCTGCTGACTGAACAGAGGCAGATGGTCCTTTTTGGGCATATCAGAATGTGAAGAAGGTTAGGTAGGACTGAACCAGTGATGTGAAAAGCCCGTGTCCACCGTGCCTGTATCTCCCACCTGAGGTGCTTAACTTTGCACTGTGCTGTTGAAAAAGCTGACGTGGCTGTTGTGGCAGCTGTGATGAAAATAGGTTATCACAAGTGTTTCTACAGCACAATCTTATTTTGGAAGAAAAACACCACTTTAAAAGTATATCAGGAGTTATGTCCCAGTGTCATAAAACTTCTGAAAAGAATAAATATGGGAGGAAAACTGTTACACTCTATCCTTTTTCTCCTTTTCAAGGCTGAATTGCATTCCCAGTTTTTACCATCCATAATTCATCCACGCAGACTTCATTGAAATTTCTAGTAAATCATTTGTAAGGCCTGAGGCTCACCAGTGTGCATACAGATCAGTGGCATGATTTGTTTCACTGTTATGCTATTTATTTGTTTTAGACTGCTTGAAAAGTCAAGTCTGACCTACTTTAAATCCAGAACAAGAAAATGGTTAATGGTCAAGGGTGGTTTTAGACCTGAACCATTTTGTAATTAGTAGAGTAAAGGTTCGTGGGCTTTCTGAATATGCTCATTAAAACAAATGTAAGTGGTTATTGGTTATATAAATATTTTATATATATATATGTATATATAAATTGGTCCTCAGCCTGTGAGTCCAACAGCTCTGGGACAAGTTGGACCACTGGGACCACAGATGTAGGTCTGCTGGTGAACTTGCCCAGCTGCAGAAGTAAGTATGACCCTCCATGTACAGGAAGGAAGGGGATGTCCTTTTGAGACCTGGCTAATGTCATGGGGTGTCACCATACAGAATCACACAGAATGGCCAAGGTTGGAACAGACCTCAAGGATCATGAATCTCCAACCCCCCAAATATGGACCATTTTCAAACCATTTGCCTTTGCTCAGCTCTAAAAAAAAAAAAAACAATTCAGCTCTGTATTTTACACTCCTGACCATCGCATCTTGTTTGAGCAGCATTTTCATTAATCCCAAGGTTTGGTAGAATGGTCTCAAGAGACAGCTGCCAGAGCTGTCAAACTCAAAACGTCCCCTTAGCAATAAGCAGCCTCCCTCCTACTACAGCATCTGCTGCACCAGCCATTGCCGAGCAGCAACTTCAGGTCATCTGGGGGCAATTACAGATTTTAAAGCATAGATTCAATCACCTCTGCTGATCAGTGGCATGCTTCAATGGAGTTCTGAACTCATCTGACATCAGTGCTCACGTCACTATCCACTACCCATAAAACTACTGGCTGTTGATCAAATCTGTTATCTCGTTTACCATCGGAGTGCGTTAAACTCCATGGATTTTTACCCAAAGCCTTCCTTTCTAAGGGCTGTGTGTTCTCACTCACCACACTGGTTGCGTGGCCTGAGGAGCCTGACTTGCCACCACTCTGAAAACTCAGCAGCGATTTGATCTGCTGGCAAATCCGCAGTCATCCTTTTTATGGCGAGGAATGCTTTATCCTTGCAGTGTTCATGCAGTGTTTCCATCAAGCTGCATGCTGTTACTGAGACTGCCCTCTTCTTGTCTTGCTTCTGTGGCTGCTGCAAAGCTCCAGCACATCACCCATGCCCTCCCAGTCTTTCAGAGGACACCGGACCCAAAAAACTCAGCTTACTTTACAACGTATGGGGAAAGACATCATGAGGCAGCTGTAACTTGGAACAATCTCAACAGCTGGCATTTGTCAGTAGAAGTAAGTTATGCCCGAGGACTAGCGAGCCCAGATCTTATTTATTTATTTACCTTACACCCCTCTATTAAAAAGGAACCTTATGGGATGGCCAACCCATGTGCAGGAGCCAGGCTAAGCTGAGGGCCCAGCAGCTGCCCTGCTCTGCTATGATGAAGTGCTCCCACACCAGACAGACTTTTCTAAAACTGCTTTAAATCTCTTCGAATTGCAAATCTCATTTACACCCTTTTTCCCCCCCTTACACAGTATTTACCAGTGGAAGGATACATTTACTCCAACCTGGACCTCATCACGTGGTTGCTTCTCCAGAATAAGCCTCGTTCCTCCAGCACAATGTGACATCATCTCACAGACAGGGAATTGTAGCATGGAGCTAGAAGTCTGCACTGGAGCAAAGACTTGAACCTCATCCTCCTACAACTGAACCAAGTGCTGTGTTGCTTTCGGTGCTCACTCTCAGGTCCCAGAGATCACAGGGAGCCTGTAATTCTCAGCTGATCTTTGGTACCTTCAGACATTTCACCCCAAATACTTTCATACAACACCTCTGAGCAACATGGCATATGGAGGTCAACTCCATCCTGGAGGACAACAGTCGCTGTATGCAACTGTTCAGCCTGAAAAAGAAAAGACTGCAATGGGATCTTATCTACATTTATAAATATCTAAATATCTGTGACCTGAGCACAGTGATGATGAGGAGACAAACTATAGGTGATTATCCCCCAGGCTGAGGCTTGGGGAAGGACATAGTTGCTGCATTCCTGCTCTCTTTGCAGGGGTCTTTGTGGTGTGATGGGAGCTGCCATCTTCCATTTCTGCTATGGCAGCGTTTATCCCAACAAGGACAAAATGCCTTTCCAACAGACCGAAGGGCAATTTTCAGTTGGTAAACATTCACTTTGCTCCTGGTGGTCCTGGAAATGGCATGCATTCATTGCTCAATGTACGTGGGCAGCCAGAGGAATGCAGAAGAAATTGCGGTGCGGACCTGGGATCAAGAAAACTCATTCATTCTTGGCCACTGTACAACAATGCAATCTGGACACTTTTTGGTACAATTTAATCTAATCTGGTTTGGATCTGATACTGACAAAGTGGGAGGGGAAGATCATAAACAGCTGTTTTTCCAACTTCATTTTTTGACTTGGGTTTGATTTCCCAGGGCAGCTCTTGTGTGTATGACCTTGGAGAGGAACAAGAAGGCTCTTCCAAGGCACTGCATGAATTTGTACCAGACATAACTTGAGCCTCGAAGTTTAGGTGAATCTGTCCTAATGACAGAAAGCTCCTCCCCCCAGTATGGAGAGGTTCTACATTGGCTCGATGAACAGCAAGATTTTCACCTTGCTGTGAAAGGAGGCACAGAGGTGCTTTCCCACTCCCAAAAAACCACTCAGCTGTCATGATCTAAATGGAGGGATGAAGGATGAATGGGGCGGGGAAGTCAAATTCTTCTTGCTGCAGGAAGAACAAAAACCTCCCAAACAGCAAACTCGCCAGGAGCCACAGTATAGCTTTGAGGAGAGACTGAAAGGAGGGGCACATTCACATTATTTCCCCTCCTTCAGCATCCCTCCATTGATTCTCGGTCCATGCCTGCATTCCCTGGATACCATAGGCTCATTAGCCTGCTGAAACCTTAAATACCTAAAGCAAACTAGAGCCAGAACAAACACAAAGACCCACTTGGGATCTCTTCCTACATGTCAGGGAAGGAAAGAAGGCAGCGATCTGTTGTTTTGTCCTTGCCAAGAAGCCCTTTCCTTCAGATTTGAGGGATGTAGCATACTGCTACAGAAGGAGACGCCCCCTATGCCCTGAGACAGCAGGGGCTGGAAGGGAGGGCATGAGGAACAAGAGGTTTTGCCACACTGAATACAGTGTTCCTCAGGCTACACGAACTGGAAAAGGATGGAGCAGACTCAAAAAAAAAAAAAACCAAAAAACATGGAGATGATGAACAGAGCCAACAGCAGTATATCTTAACTATTCCTTCTCGGCAGCTCCCTTTTATAATGCTAATATCCTGTGGAAAAATAGTGCCAAGAAATTGCTTGCATTCCACCCTGCAGCAACAAACCCACAAAAGCCAACCCCAGTGACCCCGTGCATTTACCCCCAGCCTCCTTTCATGCTGTGGCTTCTGCTGCACGCATTCTCTTCCAAGTCAGCCCATCATCCCAACTCACCTCCAGCTTGCAGTTGCTTCGCAGTGCCAAATACCTATTAGACACAACTCTGTCCTGTTTTCCCACCACATCTCCGAGCTCCCCAACATGACATACTTGCAAGGAAAAAAGGATTTGGTGGTTTTTCATCATCAAACGCTGCCCCTGTGGGATGCAGGTCTGATGCAGGGGGAGGTAATGGCCCGGGACAGCTTAGGTTAGACCTGCCCAGATGCTGGAGGAGGAAGGTGAGCAAGGCAGCCCTTTTGCAGGCACCCCACCTCGGGGCTACCAGCCTCCATCCAGAAGCCTTGAGCTATCTCTGATCATTAGCTAAAGCCTGAGTTCCTTCCTGGTGAGCAATTAGCTCTAATTAACAATTAGAGGGCTTCTATTGTATTCAAGAGAACTGGTGGGATGAGAGCCACTAATCTCTGTGCTTAGGCAGCAGCAACCCAGAATGTTACAGCCCTGGGGCGAACCTGTGTTTTTGAGTCCTGCCAAATTCCTCCTCTTGGTCCACAATTCCTTTCTCCAATTAGGGTCCAGACACAGAACAAGACAAGGGGCTCCAGTGAAAGCTCCCTTTAAATAGCTCTACATTTCTGAGTGCAGCCATTCCGAGGCCTGCAGCTTGCCCTGAATTCACACGAGCAAAGTTCCACATGAGGGACACTTGCAAGCCAAACACATGAGAATGGTGCCAGTGAGGAACTTTGCACACAGGTTGGCACCATTGCTTATCATTATGATGGAGAGGCAGGGGAAAAAAACACGTCCCACTGAGTTGGTGTTCCAGAATAAAGCTGAAAATAACAGTTTAGATGAGAACATAAAACAGAATTAAAACACTTTTATGTTGTTTAGGCACTCCATTCCAAGGAAGATGTCCATTGACAGAACGTGGCAGGGTGCGCTGTGTTTATCAGCCCCTCGATTTACTTTGGCCCCAGAGCCATAAACAAGAACAGAACAGCATTGAGTCTGTGAAGTCTAGCAGAAGTCTCTTGGCTTTGGAGGGATTCTGTAAATATTAGGACAGACGCTATCTTAAAAGGCTTGATGCCTTTGATTATGTTCCCGTGCTTAGCTTCCTCCACTTATTTTTGTCTCATCGTCTCTAATGTCAAACTGTTCTACACGTAGGGAGGGCCGTGAATTGAAACAGCAGAGCAAGTTTCTTCTGATGGAGCCTGAACTCCAGCAGAGAAATTGGCAGTTAGGTTGGGAGCGGTAATTCCAGCCACTGGCTCTAAAGAAAGTTTTTTTTTTTCTAATGGAAAAACTTCTGTGGCTGTTTTGTGACCAAGGTCATGGGTAAGGAAAGGTCTGGGAGGTGAGCTAATCTCTTTTAACCCAGAAAACTGCCCCCTCCCAAAAACCTCTCCAAACACCCAAAGTCAGCATGTTAGACACGTAGGGCCTTCATATTATCTCCCTCGTTATTAGGAGTCAAGATGACAACACTGGTGTGAGTCCATGGTGAGTGTAGGACATGTGGGCTGGATGAAGAAAGGCATGTAGGTTGGTAGGGTGTAGGACCTGTGGGTTAGGAGGAGGTAGGAACCATAGGTTGAGTTGTACATGAGCTGCAGGTTGGGACAGTGTTGTTGCTTTGGCTCTGGCCAGCTCAACGATGCTCGTTTTGGAGATCCTGTCTTCTGCTGCAGCCTGCAGGAGCTCAGATCTGCCTTCCAGCCCCTGCCCCACAAGCCTCCAAACGGACACTGGATTTGCCCATGTGTTCCCAAGATGAAAGCTCCCCTCCCTCTCCGTCCTCTTGTAGCATCTTGAGCCACCACAGCTTATCAGATCCTACTGCTCCTTGGGCTGAGGTCTGTTACAGGGCCCTAATCACGTTCCCCTCCAGGATCATAGCAAAGTTCCCACCCATTTCAATGAGAACAAGAACCCAGCCATTGTCTGACACCTTTGATATTTTCTGTGACTAAAAAGAGCTATTTTTGCATGAGGAAGGTCAAAACGAGAGCAAGCGCATGGGAGGAGGATGGACAACTTCAAAGCCCCACAGAACCACGTGGACAAAGCCAAAGCAGCGCCAAGCAACCTCCCTCTAAACAGCATCCTGAAAGCTGTTTTTATGGAGATCCTTCTAGAAGAAGGTTCCATGAACTGTCTGGAGTACATCAGCCACTTGGAAGTCATTTGGTCTCCTCACTTGAGTCAGCTGCCAAGCTGATACGCAGTGTCTAGATGGTTTGGGGCATACATCTCATTTGGTGTTTTAGCAGAAAGAACATTCCTTATAGCTATTAATTCTGTAGTTAGGATGTCAGCTTGACTAAGTATCATTTACTTTGTCCAAGAAACAATCATCAGGAACATAAATGTGACTGAAGCATCAAAAACAACCCCTCCCTGCATTTGCTGTTGGCATCTTGCGTTGCAGCATGCTGCCAAGCTGAGATGTCAAAAGAAGCCAGCAAGTTAGGATTGTAGAGGAAAAAGAATCTGTTGCTTTTGTTATTTTGTAAGAGAGATGTCAAAGAAATTTTCCCTGTGGTGTATCTACCAATTGCAAATCACTGTGACCTTATATTTCTCCAGAGACCAAGCATCTTCCTTGGGCGAAAGTACTGTGAGTACTTGTTCAGAATACAATGGTAGTAGACAACCTTACTGCCCACAAGTCACAGTCTAGACATGACACAGGAGATGTGGTCTGCTTGGGATTTGGTTCTGTAAGGAAAGTAGAAGATGAAGGTTACAGATTCCATTAAATAATAGCATTCATTTTTCTGCTGATGTGTTTTAAGTTTGGGCTGAAGAATGAGAACATTTTTACTTAAGGGCACTTGCAATTTTCTGGTTTGGCTCTCTTTCCACTACATTAATACTTGTACTGGTTGCTAGACAGACAAAAACCTCCCAGACACTTTCAATTTTAGCTTGGTTTAGCTGAGACCCCATTTTTCCATTTGAAATAAAGCTTCTCGATGAAAACTTGTGCTAGCTTTCACCTACCAACTTCTTCAGAACTGAACTCTGCTTGGGTCACCCACCTCTGCCTGCTTTCAGAAGCAGCAGAGAAATGCAACACAGCACACACACGACCCAAGGAGCAAAGCATCACCCATAGGTTGTCTTCCCCCAATCCAGCACCCTGCACATCTCCTGCCCCAGTTTCACCCCTTGCACACAGCCGTGCCTCTTTCTCTCTGTGAAGCAGTTCTTGTCAGTAAAGAAATAAATTCAGGGGTTATCAGATGTATCTCCCTTCTCCTGGTTACCCAGCTCAGCTTTGGAAATACTGATTGCTGAACATTTCCCTCAGAATTCATTCTTTGGAAAAGAATTCCCTCTGAGTAGTAAAGATGGGCTGCCAATGAAGTCAAGTGAAGCCCTCGTGGTGCCTTCTGCAGCTCTCCCAAGGACTGCCTGCTGCTGTGTCCCACGAAGGGCAGCATATGGGTGTTCCTGGGGGTCCCTCAAAGCCCTCTCAGCAAGCATTGGACACACGGTGGTATTCACTTGGTGGTGTCCCCAGTGGCTTGCTGGTGGCAGAGCTGGTACCAGGCTTTATAACAAGTTACAGCTAACACAGAGCCTTCACAAATCTAGTAGCTGCAGTAGGTTACAGGAGCAGACAGATGGGACTCATTTATGATTACCTTTCCTCTCACCCAGGCTTCTTTTATTATCCACCCTTCTCACATGCCCCTCTCAAACTCCGTATGAAAACGCAGCTGGTGGAATAAAGCAGTCTTCTGCATGACCTCCTGCAATGCAATAGCACTGAGATGCTATTTTCAGAGATGCTATTTTCACGTGGAGGCCAAGAGGCACTGGGCACAAACTGGAGCACAGGAGGTTAGATCTGCCCATCAGGCAGCACTTCTGTAAACACGCAAACATAACAGCTACAGGATACCTGGAAGCTGCTAAAAATAGGGCTTTCATGGCTGTGGCTCAGCTTCTGTCCCCATCTCCATCAGCTCAGAGTCCAAACCCATAAGATGAACGCAGATCTGGCCCAGGGGCTGTGCAGTGCAAATGATGTGGTAGGAGCTGATGTGATTTTAGTGGCCCAAAAGCAGCAGCCATGAGTCACATGGAGCACCTTCAAAGCCCCAGGAAGATTTTCTGTACTGATGCAGGGCTCGAGGCCTCACTTCCCCAGTGTAATATCCCAGATACTTGCTGAGTGTTGTTTACTCCAATAGGAACAACTCACATTCTTCAGTGATTTGCAGAGCTGGGCCATGTGTTAGTTCCCTGAAAGATTCACATACTTGGCAAGGGAGGTTTAGAAGTAATTTCTTTTTTATTGCTTTTTTTTTTTTTGCTTATCCTTTACTCTGCTAATAAGTGAGTACATTCCACAAGCTTGATGTCACTTAAGGGAAAAGGAATGAAGGTAGGAAATGAAAACACAATGGAAAGCAGAGCTGTAGGCAGAAGTATTACTAGCTGCCTCATTTCTTGGCCAGTTTTCCAAATGCCAGGCTCCTTCAGGATTATCCTAAACATAACTCAAGCAACTGTCTTTCAATTATACAGCTCCTGAGCAGCTAAAAGATCTCATTCACCTGAGGTCACAGCAAGCAAAAGCGAAGCTATTACTTAATAACAAATAATAGGACCTTTTAGGAGACACAGATGCTCCATTTCTATGTTTAATAAATAGGGATGGACAGATGGCATCTAGCATTCTGGTACTTCTAACTTCAAATCCACAGCCAGGTCTTCATTACTGAGAAAAATAATTCAGCTTTCAGACATGGATTCAACAGTACATTCAAATATATGCCTACATTTAAGCCTGTATTGGCAATAAGCTATCCTGAAATTAATAAGAGGTGAAGGCTTAATTACGTTCCTGAATCAGGGAGCTCTGGTGTGGAGAACTTCAGTGTTAAATGTCAGCATGAAGGCAGATTCCTACGGCTGGCTACAAATCGCTTGGATTTATAATCCCTTTATATCCTGGAAACGCTGACAGCTTTAAATATAGCACCGTGGCTGTGATAAATTGTTGGCATTTTTCTCTGGTTAGCCTTTTGTAACTAAATTTAAGGTATCCATTTCAGCATGATCCAATTATGGAAGCATAATCGGAACGGCTCCCCATGCAAGAGGCCACATCTATTTTTGTCCAGGAAGCTTAAGTCTGCATTTTTGAGCTCGTGATTTATGTCAGGCTTTAAATTAATAATAAGGCATCTCTCCACAGGCAAATATTTGTACTGCAAGATTCGTTCAGCACAGACCCAGCAGCCAGCCAAAGCTTTCTGAATAATGAAGATTCAGTTACAATGACAGCACA